TCTTAAATTCATGCCATCAACGACGGAACGCGGTCGTCAATGGGAAAGGAAAGTGAAAGGAAAATGAATGAAGCCCAGGACGGGTGCACGAAGGAATCGGGAAAGAACAGATCCTGTAATTCTTATTGCTATCATGTGGATTGCACTGGTCAGATGGATATCAGAATTGATATCAATTTCCTTCAATCATGCCCATGTTTCCCTGAGTTTACCGAAGTAAGTTTCAGTGATCTTGGCTTGATTATCCATAATTCGCCTTGCTCTGTTTCCTCGGTTGATAAGTTGACGGAACTTCCCGCTTTGTAGTGCAAAAGCCAAGGCAGCAAATATCCGTTGATAAGCGAATAACTAAAACTTTTTTCATTTGTGGCTATAACAATCTAACAACCACTAACAAAGAATGCTTACCAAATCGTAAGAGTGATAGAAGTGAGTTTCGTCGCTGCCGATTGGAGCAATCTTCCAAACAATTGAATACGCCACTAACGCGATGAATACAACCTAAGCGCTTATGTAATATTTGATAGCTACCCCTCTGGACGTGTATTTGCGATAGGTCGTTTTTTGGAAAGCTCTCTCTCCGGATGATGTGCCCCCTTCCCATCCAAGAAGACACCGCATAACTTCAGAAAAAGTCGCTTTTTTGTGATGATGGGCAGGCGAAACCTATTTCAATACGAAAACTTCAAAGAACTTCTGATGCTCATAGCCTACCCTGCAGATAAGGTCATTGACTGCAATAGATATCAAGTATTTTCCACTGCGGATGTTCTCATCCAAGCGATACTTCACTGCCAGTTCCATCATTGTGTCATGACGCTTTCTGTACTCAGAGGCATTGAACTTGATTATTGCAACGAGAGCCTAAAGCAAACCGTAGATGAATATCTGCCGAGTAAGCATTTACAGTCTGTTCGCTGTAGACACAGAAACTTGTCAGAGGGAGGGTCGGGACCAGCACGGCGCCAGCGCGCTTCCCATCAGCTGTGATCGTTTGCCAGTTTAGGCAATTTTTGGAGAACGGACTGGCGCCGAGCCAAACCCAGCCCCCCATGCACGCTCCAGCGCCCACAGATAATAGGATTCTATACTTGTGCAACATGGAGTGTCCAAGCAAGCCACTTATACTTATGTTAGCAGGAAAGAAAGTCTTACTATTATACAGAGAAGTACAACCACGGCATTCATGACCATCAGATAGATGCGAAGATTGCGTACTGAAAAATTAATGGAAACTTTATTGAACAGTGACTCAGATAATAAGGACAGGGTCAAGGGGGGGGGGGTCGTGGATGGGAAACATAGCAATAGGAATAGGAAGCCTGGAGAGCTCACTGAAAGTATCATGTAATGGCAATATTCAGGTCCCAGTATGTACCCCAAAATCTAAGAAAAAAAATTGCTGAATAAACAACAGGGTCGTTCAGTGCCCTGATCACGACAGTGACATTAGCTTTCAGCGTCAGCTTGGCACGTTCATGTCTATCACCATAATCGAAACAAATACTGAGCCTACTAGACACCTTGACTGCGAATACGGTAAACACCAGTCAACGAAGCCGGACGGTCCTCCTTCTTCCTGCGAAGATGGTCTTCCCCACACACATTTTCAAAGCAGAGAGGGCCAATGGGATCGGCCAGTTTATCCGGATCTACAAAGTGAGCCAATGGCCATATCACCGGAGGCCAATGCTCATATTGTCTTCTTTGAGCGCAACGTAAGATCAATGCTGTCAACTATTAGGTTGTCCGGAAAGTTTTGAGAAAATTTCACACTTTTAGTTTGAAGAAGTGTAGCAAGCGAATGGCCCAACATAAAGGCGTATATGAAGTGCTATGAGAAAGAGAAATGTTTGTAGATCAATCCAATGCTAGTTGGTCTTATTCCCCATGGTTGGTAAGACTACACATTACCTGAAATCTTCACCGTTCTGGCTCCTCTAACGGTCAAATCGGGAATGAGAACCGTCACCGATGCTGGATAAAACACGCTTCAAAACTATCTGCAGCAGGAGATCAATCGGTCTCTTACGTGGAAGTTTAGCTTGGATATTGCGTACGCCCCACATGCTCGGTACTCACTTCATTCACTCCCACGAAAAGGAATCCCTTCCCAAAAGGTAAGGGAAATGTGATGGACAATGT